TCCTCTCGTCACTGAGGTCCTCCATCCACATGACAGAGAGGGGAACACAAAAATGACTCAGCTGCAACTGAAAATATGGATGGAGGACCTCAGTTGAAGTTGTTTGTCGCGCTAGTACTGAACTAATACCAGAGGTTGAGTTAACGGAATATTTTCCGTATTTGACAGTTTTTTTATGCAATGATGGAAAAATCTGAAGGCCGTCCGTCATTTTGACTGATTGCAATTAACACCCCTGACCTCTTAAATCCTGGTTTATATTTTGAGTCGCACGTCTTTTCCCCACCTGCTGAGTAAAATACATTGCGTAACTTCCATCTGCTCTCCCGCTGCTATCCCCCAGTGACAGCCATCTTGTGCATTGCCCCCAGTCAGAACTGTGCTGATGGGACGTAGGGGCTCTCAGTGTGTGATAGGTCCAGAGTTTGTGGGTGTGTTTGTTCATGAGGGGCACCACAGAGGGCCAGTGGTCCTCAGCCGTGGCAGTGTCGAGGAGTTGGTGCTGGACCAGAACAGGACCCTGAGCAGCTCAATTCCTCATGTGTGTTATTTTGTTTAAAATGATATTTTTTGTCTGAAGCCAGTTTTAAAAAGAGCTCAAAGAGCAGCTGGTTTGATCCAGGTCCCACGAATGTGAACGCGCAGCTGGTTACTCTTTTTTTTTCATCCACCGTTAACAATAAAATAAATAAATAAATAAAAAATGGCTTTACTTCACAACTTACCACTGATGTTCAGTGGAAAAAACACTATCCAGCCATATTTATTGTAGTTTATATACTTTATATGAGCTGTTGGTAGGGCAGATGAAGGATTTATGATAACTTATGGTCCATCGCATCTTTACCCTGTTTATACTCGTCAGGAAAAGACGCGCTGAAATTGTGCAATCATCAACCCGCTGTCTCACATCTTATTAAACTTTCCAGGCTTAAGTCTGGAAGACTTAATAAATAAGCCAGGTGAGGCGGAGAATAAAAATCAACGAGGCTTCACAAGACGGCTCCGTGACATCACACACACACAGAGAAATTTTCAGCTTTACGCACAGAGCAGGTCTACATCGCAGAGGTGTCTTATTTAATCTAAAATAAAGATTTCCATCCAATCATCATCACCTCAGATCTAGGCACCATACTGAATGCATCTCCAGGAGCTGACAGCGCATTGAGGACAGGAGGCTTTGGAGCGTCTGAGGCGCAGCTGAACCAGTGGCGCAGGGCGAGCGCATGCTGCGGGATCTCCTCCTTCTAAAGCCAGAGCTTGTAGGACTTGGAAATAAAGTCTTGCTGACATCGGATCACTTTGACTGGAGAAATGTGTTCTGATTTTAAAACTTTGGCTGAAGTGGTGCTTGTTATTTCAATTCAACCTGGAAAGACTCACACGAGACCGAATGAAATTTAGGTTTATTGACATGACTGGACCAACATCGTTATGACACAAATGGCATTAGAGTTTGGCACTCGGATCCTGGCAGAGGACGAAAGCACTGAGTAAAGCTGTAATATCATACGAGATGCTTTGAGTTAGGGGTAGGAGATTTAACCCCCCCAGGACCCGACACTGGTGGTGGAGATCATGAAAAAAGAACAATCTAAAGAAGAAGCCAGCAGTTTGTATTGAATGACTTCATCACAGACTCCCATCCTGAGCAAATGGTGGAGACGAAAAACTCCCTGTTATCAGGAAGAAACCTCCAGCAGAACCAGGCTCAGGAAAGGCGGCCATCTGCCTCGACCGGCTGGGTTGAGGGACGGGAAGAGACACGGCCGAACGCAGAAGAACAGGTCCAGATGCACCCTCTCCAGAAGACGAAGGGGGAGGAGGGGTACTGGCAGGCCGACGGTCAGCTGGCATGCAGACAGTGTGATCGAGATGACTGGCTTTTATTTACCGGCAGCCAGGAGCTGATTGGATGTAGCTGGGTTTGCAACGATTGGACACAGCTGAGCTTGAGATGAGGAGGTCTGCAGGAGCAGGTAAGGTTATTAGTCTTCCAGAGTTGAATGTACGTTTAAACTCCATTTCAACCTGGAAAGACTCACATGAGACAGAATGAAATTTAGGAGGTTTATTGACATGACCAGACCAACAACGTTATGACATAAATGACAATAGAGTTTGGTGCGCAGACCCCGGCAGAGGACGAGAGCACTGAGTGAAGCTGTAATCTCATGCGAGATGCTTTAGTTAGGGGTAGAGATTTAATCCCCCAAAAAAGAGGCCGAAGCCGAGAGGAGGTTGAGGCCGCATTAAACTTACAGGACCTGAATGGCGATTTAGGGGATGATGAGAACGACGACACATAATAGGGATGGCTAACAAACTAGGAGTACATAAATAGGTGAGGGTTTTTC